CCTCCTCCTCCTCCTCCTCCTCCTCCTCCTCCTCCTCCTCCTCCTCCTCCTCCTCCCCTCCTGCCCCCTGAGCAGCGCGGTGCCAGGTGCTGTAGCCGTTGCCGCTGTCAGCGGCTTTTCGGCGGCACTGGCGCTGGCGCTTGCAGGCGGGAGGGGCGGGGGGTGGGGGACTCGGGACCCGCAGCGCCTGGTTGTTGCGGTGGCGCCGGAAGCAGGTTCCCGAGGGAGAAGGAGGGTCGAGGGTGAGCGAGGGAGAACCCCCACCTCGCGCCGTGGACACAGAACACGACGTCGGAGTTCTCGGGACGCGGGGCGACGAGGGGCGAGGGAGGACGAGGGAGAACGCTGGATGAGCCCTTCGCTGCCGCAGCATGCCCCAGGGACGAGGGAGGTTGAGGGAGGACGAGGGACGACGAGGGCCGAGGGCCGAGGGAGGAGGGAGGAGGGACGAGGGACGAGGGAGGACGTGGGCCGAGGGAGGACGACGGATGAGCAGCAGGGGCCGAGCCCTTCCGCTGCCGCAGCACGCCCCAGCGGCGGCCCATGCTGGAGGGAGCGGAGCGCGCCCGCGCCAGCCACCAGGGGCCCGCGCCCCAGGAGCTGCAGCGTGAGGTCCGCGTTGCGCCTCAGTCGCCGAAGGCACGTCGGCTCACGGTCCTCCATGGAGGGGAGGGGAGGGGAGGGGAGGGGAGGGAGTCCCAAGAACGGAGCTCTCGTGGGGTGGGGGTGCCGGGACGTGGTGGGGGCGTGGTGGGGCCGCGGTGGGGGGTGTCGGTAAGTGACGGGCCAGAAATCGTGTGAGGGGTCCCAAGAGCTGATCGAGCTCTCGTGGGGTGGTGGTGCCGGGACGTGGTGGGGGCTTGGTGGGGGCGCGGTGGGGGGGAGGGGGCATGCAGCACACGCGACCGGCAGCTTCGGTGTCGCCGATGAGCGTGGTGAAGGCCACCTCTACTTCAATATTGCCTTCAACAGCATCCAGCTGCCGCTGCAAGCAAGCGACAAGCCGGTCCCCCGGCGCCCGGGCTCCAGCAGCGCCGAGCAGCACCCCGCCCGACATTGTAGCAATCATTCTCCAGCTCGCGCCGCCGTCGTCCAGAATGGCTATGGCGAAAGCGGGGAGAAACAGCCTTGAGCTACGGAGGAGGATGAGGAGGACCCAGACCCCCGACGTCATGATTCTGCAGGCTTGCGCAGTATCCGCCGACCCCTTTTGTTTTGACGTGCGCGGCGTGCAACGGGAAATTCTCGCGGCAGAAGCACATAAGCACCGTGCAGGACAGGAATACTCCACGAGGAAAGAGGAAGTCATATGCGCAGACTGCAAATGCCTCTGGCTCACGGCGCGGGATTTGCAAGCGCATGAGTGCGTGGGCGCATGCAGGAAAACGCTTCCGAAATCTGCGTTTGCAGGGGAGGGCGCATCTCGCAAGTTCTTTCAAAAGTGGCACCCGGAAGTGCAGGTCGTGCGGATGATGTGCCGACCTCGAACAAGAAGTGGGAGGAGGAGGAGGAGGAAGAGGAGGAGGAGGAGGAGCAGTACCTGTGGAAAGAGATGGAGAAGAGAGGCAGAGAGAGAAGAGGAATGACACAAAGAGAGGAACGAGTTAAGGAACAGATGTACAGGGGGCTCCAGAGGAAGTGGATAACGATGGGAGAGCGAGGAATCGTTGCTTTTGCCAATGTTGCTTGCTGAGAGTAGCCAGGCAGCGACAAGGCTGTTTAGGCTCCCCCGGGGACCACGAAAAAGGCTCTCGGAACCTTCGTGGGGTTAGTGGAAGCTTCTTAGCAGCTTCGTGGAGCCTCTTGAGGGCGTCCCAGAGGCCCGTTGGGGCCTCTTAAGGACCCCATGGTGCCATTGGGAATCTGGAGGCATCTTTGGGGCCTCTGCGGCGCTGCGGGCCTGATGGCACTCATGGGAGTCTCTTCGGGACTTCCTGGGGGTCTCGCGGGGGGGTCCAGACTCCGACGTCATATTTTTTGCACATTGTCGACCCCCGGAGGTCTCGACCCATTCTCCGGGACCGGCCTTTCATCCTCCATCTTTTTTCGACGGTCCGGGCCCTGGCGAGGGCCAACTGAGGACGAAAATGCGGACACTGATGCCCGGCATGTTTTCTGCACAACGCGAGAGGGTCTGGGGAGGGAGGACGGGAAGACTTCGGTCTGCGCACAGAGAGCACCCCCCCTCGGCTGGTTTCACCCCCCCCCCCCCCAGTAGTCATAGTTGGCCTCAGTAGTCCGAGGTGGTCTCAACCTCAACACTGGGTCGCAGAGCGCCTCGAGGGCGGCGCTGGAGGCGGTGCCAGGGTGTTGAGACCGCTCAGGACTACTCGGGGGGGGGCCTGTTGAGGCCATCCGGGACTGCCAGGGTGTTGCGACCGCCCAGGACTTCTCGGAGGGCCTGTTGAGGCCATCCAGGGGCTACCTTGGGGGGCCTGCCTTCTCGAAGCCTTACGAAGGGAGGAGGGAGGACGACGATGAAGAGCGCCGTGACTTCGACTCCCGAGGCCCCCCCCCTGCACACGGCCAGCCGCGGGGCGAGGCAGAGGGCCGCCGCGCCAGCTGGGCATGCGGACACCGGGAGTGCGAAGGGCTGACGAGGAGCCCGCCGTCGGCCAGGGAAGGGGGGAGGAGGAGGAGGAGGAGGAGGAGGAGGAGGAGGAGGAGGAGGAGGAGGATCATGCGCGTGCGCCTCGCAGCTTGCCTAAGAAAATATGAGGAGGAGTGGAAGGAGGAGGAGGAGGAGGAGGAGGAGGAGGAGGAGGAGGAGAAGCTGGAGGAGGGGGAAGAGGAGCACGCGCGTGCGCATCGCAGCTTGCCTAAGAAAATATGAGGAGGAGGAGGAGGAGGAGGAGGAGGAGGAGGAGGAGGAGGAGGAGGAGGAGGGAGGGAGGGAGGAGGAAGGATGGAGGAGGAGTGGGAGGGGGGAGGAAGGAGGATGGAGGAGGGAGGAGGGAGGAGGGAGGAGGACGGGAGGGGGGAGGGAGGAGGATTGAGGAGGGAAGAGGAGGGGGGATGAAGGTTCGGCCGCGACGGGTTGGTTCTTGTTGCGCTTAGGAGTGCGCGGCAGTCACGCGCGGTCTGCTGCAGCGAAGCGAAGGAGGAGGGCCAACGGGGAGGGCCAACGGGAGGGCCAGCGGGGAGAGGGAAAAGGGATAGGATGGAAGGCTCGAGGTTCTCAAGGGCAACGGCCGGAGGGGATAGGCTGAGGGCGAAAGCATCGACCCCCAATCGCCCATTCTTCGCCGAGAATGAGGGGATAGGAGGGGTCACGTCGACGACGACGGCGGTCGGCGGCTTGCGCGTGAAACGGGGGAGGGAGGCAGGGGCGAACGGGGCCGACGTCGCACGGACAGCACCACTCGAGTCCGAAAAAAGGGCAGGACCACGAACATTCGGAGGCCTCCTCTTCTTCCTCCTCCTCCTCCTACTCCTCCTCCTCCTCCTCCCCCCCTCCTCCTCCTCCTCCCCTCCTCCTCCCTCTCCTCCTCCTCCTCCTCCTCCTCCTCCTCCTCCTCCTCCTCGTCCTCCTCCTGGTCCTCCTCCTGGTCCTCCTCCTCCTCCTCCTCCTCCTCCTCCTCCTCCTCCTCCTCCTCCTCAAGCGCACAAAGAAAGGCGGGAATAACATCAGCGAGCCGGAGCGCCTAGAGCCTAGAGGCTCATTTGCAGGAGGCGTTCCAGGAGCAGGACATGGTGAAGGAGACGGAGAACAGCATCGCGACGAAACAGTTCAGTATCACGAGTGACACGTGGCAGCATGTGATGGAGGCGGACCTCCGGCCCCCCGAGTTGTCGGACGAGCTGAGGGCCTGGGGCGCAGACCTCATCACCCGCGACCATCGACACGAGCTAGCAGAACAGGCAGCCACCAGGATCTACGTTGAGTGGGTCACGAGGCTGGATGAGGCGGCCATCATCACGGACGATATCAAAGCGGAGGAAGCAGTATACTACAGAGGCAGGGCAGTTGGCTTCGAGGCCAGGTGGGTTGAGGCCCGTTCCACGCCATGGCGCACCCACATTAAGGTCAGTGTTGCGGAGCACTGGGGCATCAAGAATGCGGTGCTGATCAGGTACCTGGCCCTCCGCTCCAACGACACGGACCCAGGTCAGCAAGTCAAATGCCTGGCGGGCGCGCCCGGACAGATGAAGGCGCTTCAGCAGCTAGAGCAAGACCAGGTCTTCGGCAGGAAGCACGGTCGAGAAGCACGCATCAACTATTACGAGATGTTGGGTGGCCTCAGAGACCTGGACGTCCCCCAGATCCAGAGATTGGTCATCCAGTCAGAGGGCCACCTAGCGACGGCCATGGCGAGGAGCTTCACTGACCAGAGGAGAAGCTTCCGTCACGTTAAAGAGCAGCAGTGCCCCAGGTTTGAGATGGTCGCGGATACGTGCAAGGGCATGGCCGATCCTCATGTTACGAGATCAATCAAGAAGGCGGACTGGCAGCATATCTGGGCGGATCCCGTGGACACCAAGCTGGACATCGCGAGCCAGCCCAACCTGATGAGGGCCACGGCATGGGAGGAGGATATTGAACAGCTCACGCTCGCGGGGCGCGGTTGCGATGGTGGAAGGTTCCAGAGCTCGAGTGGGCGAAGTTCTCGAGCAGCGGAGGATGGTGGTCTCCAGCAAGTCAGCGCCCCTTGGCTCGCGCACGAATGATGTCAGGAGGACCGCGGAGGAGCCGCGCAAGAGGGGGGTCCCCATCCAAGCGGCCGCTGAGGCGGTGTACTTAGGCATCGACACCTCGGCGGGGCGCAAGCGGTTCACGGCGAAGGCAGCCTTCCGACGTCAAAAGGCCAAGAAGAGGTTTGCCAAGATAATCAGATTGCGCCGAGTTGCAGCGCTGGCACTAGAATGCAGAGGGCTCTGGAATACGGGAGCCACGCCGCAGGGAGTCTACGGGCGCCAGGCCGTCGGCGCGCCGGTTCACGAACTTCAGCGACTACGGCGACGCGCAGGACAAGCGGCAGGGGGCATGGCGAGAGGTCGATGTCTCACTACGACGCTGGCGGTGGAGATGTGGAGAGGGGACCCAGCCATAACACTCAGGGCGGCGATGATCGAGGAATGGGTCAACCCGCGGCAGCGCTTCCCAGGAATTCACCGCAGAGTCCTGAAAGCATGGCCCCATACAAGGAGGAGATTGGTCAAGCTGGGGCCCCAGCGATGGAGAGGGGCACGCGGACCTGTCGGAGCAGCGCAGGCTACATTGATGGACGCGGGCTGGCGCGCGCCGACGGCGACGGGCTGGCCCCTGGCCGTTGGAGAAGACGAAGACACGGCGGAGCAGCAGGGCATCCCCTCATCGCTTGACGGGACCTTCCACACTAACGGTCGCCCCCAGCCACTCATGGACAATTTCTTGGATGACGTTGCCAAGCAGTTGCGGGCCAAGGCAGCGCAGCGCCCGGAAGGAGCTGGACTGCAACGGGGGGCAGATTTTTTGGCATCTGAACACAAACGCTTCGAGAAGCAAGGGCAGTTGGACACGATTGGGATAAGGGTGGCAGCGGTCGCAGGCGCACAATGGCACAAGACCGGAGCAGCGGGCAGCGGGTGCTTGACCCCTACCAGCGCGCGCGACAGATGCAAGGGGGCGGCGGATGCACTCGCGCACAGGATCTGGCTCTGCCGAAAGAACACGGGCCTCGCCCCCGCCGCGATTGCGCGGGCGGGCTCCGAGCCAGTGCTCTGGCTTCGGGGGCCGCCGCCAATCCACCTCGCCCACGCTCGCTTCTATGGGGGTCCTAGAATGGAGGGGGCGAGGTTTGGCATGGTGGGGGGCTGGGAAGGATGTAGAGTTAATCAGCAACTCCATGTTTTTGGAGATGGGTCTGGAGGCCGCTCCTCGCCTGACCCTCGGCGAAGGCGGCGCGGGGCCAGCGCGGCAGCCGTCGGAGTTGAAGATGGGGGTGGGGGGCGGGCGCAGCTCTGGCCGTCCTCTCCTAGGCCCCAGGCAGACTGATCCCAGAGCTGAGATCCTCTCTTTAGTGCTCACGCTAGAACAGCTGCGATCTAGTTCCGTCTTTGTCGCGGACCATCGGGCGGTCGCGACGACTTGGATGGGGGCGCCTATGGGCCCGCGCCAGGGAAGCCTGGGGCCGCCGCCTCGGCCGGGCGGCAGAGGTCACCTGGGCCCCGTCGCATCTGGGCGAGGGGCCAGAAGATTTAAGCTCACCCCATGCAGCTGTCTCTCGCAGCAGGAAATCTCGTCGCGGACACGCGGGCGGGAGCGGGGGCGGAGCTGGGAGGGGGGCGTCGGCAGAGCGCCTGACACGGATCGGGTCGACTCCATTGCGCTCATGGTGCGCGAGAGAGCTCGCAGGGCGCTGACGTCGGCCGCCTCGTCGGACGCGGGAGGGCGAGTCAGTCGCCCAACCCTGCGGGGGAGCCCCCAAAGCTCGAGCGTGCTCCCAGGGACTGCTCGCGCCAACTTATCAGAGCAGGCAGCAAGCAGTGCAGCACCGAGCGCGAGGCGATGGCCCCAAGTTCCAATTTCTTCGTTTTGCGGCCACCCTGTGCGATTGGGGCCCCCTGGAGCCAAATCCCAGGGACCGAGGGGGTGTGTTTCGGCGTCGGAGGCGCGGCATGAAATCCACCCAACGCATTCAGTCACGTTCGTGGCGCAGTGGTCGGTGCACATTTGCGCGGCCCGCGGCGCGCGCGCGACCGTCGATGCGAGGTGCCTCAGGCAGAGCTGTTTGGGACTCACTCCGAACGGGGTCGAGAATCTGCGTCGCATCGCTCAGAATTTCCCCCCGCGGCGGGAGGGGCCCCCCAAGGACGCAGGCCTGGCCGTCGCGGCTCGGAGAGGTCGTCGTCTGGGGTCGTCGGGCGGGGGCGGTGGAAAGAGAAGCGACCAGATGGGAAGCACCCCCGCCGAGCCCTCTGAGGTCACCCGCGCGCGCGCGGGCCGGCGCGAGAGCGAGACTCTGCGTCGGGGGGCCGAGGAGCAGCGCGCGCAGGCAATCGCCCCGCGCTTGCTGGGGGCGGCGAGGGAGCCCGATTCTGACGCGCGGGCGGCCAGGGGGTAGGGGTCTCAGAAGCTTCGGGCCGAGGTGCATTCCACCAGTTGCCAGCCCGAGGCCAGATGCAGGAACTGAGGGAGCGGAGGTCGGTAGGCAAATAGTCCAAATCGTCTTCCTCCCCCTCCTCCTCCTCCTCTCCTCCTCCTCCTACTCCTCCTCCTCCTCCTCCTCCTCCTCCTCCTCCTCCTCTCCTCCTCCTCCTCCTCCTCCTCCTCCCTCCCCCTCCTCCCCCCCCTCCTCCTCCCCCTCCTCCTCCTGCGCGTTCCCGCGCCAGACATCGATTGACGTCCCGGGTGTCCAGGGCTGGGTTTCTCGCGGGAGGTTCCCCGTGGTCGAGCCCCCGCTGGGCGCGCGGACTTTGCGCGTCTGCGCCGGGCCCTGCTCGCGGCCCCCCAGCGCCGCCCCGCGCGCGATGGGTGGCCCAGCGCAGACCTGCAATGGGCGGAGACGCAGATGTCTGGCGGATTGATATTCTCAGTCCCTCTCTCCTACCCCCTCCTCGTAGCGCTCGCCTTCCTCCTCGTCGTCGTCCTCCTCCTCCTCCTCCTCCTCCTCCTCCTCCTCCTCCTCCTCCTCCTCTCCTACCTCCCCCCCTCCTCCTCCTCCTCCTCCTCCTCCTCCTCCTCCTCCTCCTCCTCCTCCTCCTCCTCCTCCTCCTCCTCCTCCTCCTCCTCCTCCTCCTCCTCCTCCTCCTCTTGCTCCTTCCTCGGTGCGCGCGCGCCTTGGCGCGAGGGGGAGGCCGGCCGCTGTGCGTGGCGCCCGCTGCTCTAGGCTCAGGCCCGCGGCAGAGCGCATGCCCCTTTTTGCGAACTCCCTCGCGACTGTTGTCACGTGGCCGCCGTCGCTCTGGGCCGGGGCCAGGCCCGTGATCAGCGCAGCCAGCCAGTGCCCCTTCGCCGCGAACATCCCTGGCGGCGCGGAGGGCCTCGCGGCCATCGCGGGCTCGACGGGGTTCCTCCTGGGGCACAGCTGCGCAGCGATCGATGGCTGCCCCATGCGATTCCCGCGCTCGAGAGCGGGCGCCGCGTGGCCGTCCTCTGGAGCGACGGCGAGGACTGGCAGGCGAGGGCGCCGCTCGCGCCGGCGACCGCTGGCGACCTCGCCGGGGTGGCGGAGATCGACCGCGCCGACGGCCGCGGAGCCCGGCAGCGGATCTGGTTCGCCTTGACGCCCGACGGGGACATCAACCCCCATCTCGCGGCGCCCCCGCTGGCGGGCCTCTCCGGGTCAGCGGCGCCCGAGGCGCGTCGGCGGCCCAGGCGCGCGAGGACCTGCGGGGAGGACTGGGTCGGGTCCCCTGTCCCGTCGAATTCAGTCAGGTCATCAGGTTCGCCGCGGCAGGCAGCCGCGCCGCCTCGAACCCGCCGACAAGCAGGCTGCGCGGCAAGCAGCAGAGGGGGGTGAGAAAGCCTACTTCGCAGCTGGTCTGTCGCATTCTTCAGAGCCCAAAAGTTTCCTCGGGGTTGGTTCGGGAGTTCCAAGAAATCCCCCCTAGGCCTCCACTGTAAGGCCCCAGAGGCCGCGTCGGTTCAAGACAGCATTAACGCGCTCGTAAGTTCGAGCTCAAGAACGGCCCCCCCCTCTGCCGGCAGCGGCGCGTCGGCCGCGATTGATGGGGCCCAAGACGAAGTTGGTGGGGGACACTGGGCGGCCCCTGAAACGTTGCTTCAACCATATACCCAAGCTATTGAAACTCAGTCGCATGAAGAACAAATTGCTAATCAACAGGATCCGCACAATGCGGCGCCAGATGCAGGGCATCGCGGATTCCGCTGTTCACGCAATCGATACGGACGACACCTGGGCGCAGCACCACGGCACTTACCTGGAGACTCAGCAGGAGCGGACGGAGGCCGTGCCCGAGAACGATTGAGCCAGAAGGCGCGAGGCTTGCCCCACAGGCCCCATTGTGCCGCGCTGTGCCGTTCATTTCCCGAGGGCAAGAGAGCTTTTGCCGGGGGGCGAGGCTGCTTTCGCTCGCGGGAGAGGGTAGCACAGCATATCACATCGCACACAGAGTTCGCAGCGAAGTGCCTGGCAGCGGATTCCTTCGGTGGGAGGCTCGACTTCTCGCGCCAGGCATGGTGGGGGCGGTGCAAATCAATCGCCCGCCCAAGCGCAGGTTCGCTTCAATTTCGCCATCAGTTCGCCTTATTCGAAGTCCACCAGCAGAGTCCCAGACGCCTCCCAAGAGGAGCCCAGCAGCGCGCCTACAGGGCCTCAAAGGTAGTCCAAGCAGAGGGGCCTTACAGTTGCGAGTCCTTCGCTGACCCTTGCAAGCTCATGTCTTCTCGAGGTCCTCAGGGAAACTCGGGGCCTCCGTTTTGGATGGTTGTCTGGTGCGCGCGAAGCGCCACGATGACGTGAGTCTTGTTCGGGGCCCGCACTGGCAGGAGCTGAGCCCCGCTGGGAATGTGCAGAGTGGGCAGGGGGTCGGATGTGGAGGGGGGGTGGAAGTCGCGCTGGAGGTCGCAACGCGAACAGCGCAGCAGTAGCAGAAGTACAGCGTAGCAGCAGCAGAAACACAGCGTAACAGCCGCACAGCGTCGTAGCAGAAATCCATCGCAGCCGCAGCAGTATATACATCACCATAACTACAGAAGCGCACATAATAACTGGTATGTGCGATCTCATTTGAAGCACACGGAAGTCGCATTATGTGTAAAGTAGTGGCAGTGCTAAGAGCGGCAGTTGAGCCGTGAACAAAAAGTAGCTGAAATCGATGGAGCGCATAGAAGCCACAGTAGAAGACGCAGAAGTAGTAATCATGATTGAGAGTAGTAGTAGTAGTAGTAGTAGTAGTAGTAGTAGTAGTAGTAGTAGTAGTAGTAGTAGTAGTAGTAGTAGTAGTAGTAGTAGTAGTAGTAGTAGTAGTAGTAGTAGTAGTAGTAGTAGTAGTAGTAGTAGTAGTAGTAGTAGTAGTAGTAGTAGTAGTAGTAGTAGTAGTAGTAGTAGTAGTAGTAGTAGTAGTAGTAGTAGTAGTAGTAGTAGTAGTAGTAGTAGTAGTAGTATGTAGTAGTAGTAGTAGTAGTAGTAGTAGTAGTAGTAGTAGTAGTAGTAGTAGTAGTAGTAGTAGTAGTAGTAGTAGTAGTAGTAGTAGTAGTAGTAGTAGTAGTAGTAGTAGTAGTAGATAGTCGTCGTAGCAGTAGTCGTAGGGTCGTTAGTCGTAGTTCGTAGTCGTTAGTCGTAGGTCGTAGTGTAGTCGTAGTCGTGGGCGTAGTCGTAGTCGTAATCGTTGTCGTAGTCGTAGTCGTAGTCGTAGTCGTTTGTCGTAGTCGTAGTCGTAGTCGTAGTCGTAGTCGTAGTCGTAGT